AGGCGGGGGCGTCTGCAAGATCGATCTCCATGGCCTCGGCCATGTCGCAGCTCACGCACCTCTGGGAGCGCAGGGAGATGCGTGCACGCGTGGATGCAGCACTCGTCCAGTGTCAAAAAACTCGAGCCGCATACACGGCAGGATAGATCTCCAGGCGGGGCGAGTGCACGAAGTGTAGATGCTTTGCCACTTAGACATATCCCGTGCATAATCGAACCATGAAGATGCTTCTGAGCCGTTTTCTTGTCCCAGAATATTTCACGACATGCTATGCACTGGTTGCACTTAGCGAGCGCTTGCGATAACTTCACTGTGCCATGCGTGCGACGGATGTGATTGATAAGTCCAGACCGCGATGCGAATCGAGAAGGACACGACGGCCATGGACATATATGCGAGTCGTCCGTGCACAACGCCTCGGCCTCAAGAGCCTCGAAATCCACGAAGATGCCTGGAGGTGGGACTTCTGAGGTTTGAACAGCACTGCGAAGGATACTGACATAAACCCTTACGAAATCTTTGGCTATCTCAAACTCGAAGAGGCGAAGGAGCGAACCCGATGCACGATCCCAACATTCAGCAGCATCAGAGCTCCATTGAACCAGCGTGTAGATATCATCCTGAAGTCGAACTGCCCAGGGATTAGCCTGTGGTTTGATGGTGCCCGCGTCCGTGAAGACCCCCACCCCATCAGACATTGCGCCCAAGAGAGCCGCAAGATATTGTGCATGTGCCGCGGGTCGTCGAAGACATGCCTGGAACCACCGAAGACGCCGAACCTGGAGCCCGATCCCGATCGGTACGATACGCCACCATTCGAGAACAGCTAATGACGACACAGACCTCCTCCTGCCCTCCTCGCCCTCCCAGCTCGCTTCCCCCCGCATAGCTTTACGCGCCAGGGCGGCAACAGCATGCTGGAGCGCCATTAACTGCTTAGGACTGGGAAGGAACGCCTCCGCCCCCGAGAGCGCCGCATTCACAATATTGCATAGTAGTACACAGCGCTTCCACCTCACAGGAACGCCCTTCTGGAACCAGAAATTGCCCAGCCGATAGAAGGATGATTTCATAGCAGCGATTCTTCTCGTGAGTTCCGTGCTGAACGACTGTGTCGGAGTGATGTGCGGCCCCAGGTATCGAACGGAGCTGCTGATGCGAGTGTCGAGGTCCCTGAGAATCGCAGCTGCACCTCGTCGAAAGCTATGGGGCACCGAGATGATCGCCTCCTGTTTATTGATGCTCCTCTTAAGGCCTATAGTACCCAACTCCTCATCCAAGATCTGGTCATTCAAATCGAGGAGCTGACCGAACTTCTGAGCATTATACGGGGGACCAATGATTATTTTTTTAAAGAAGATCATCAGCGAACTTCTGCAGCCCAAGATACACAGGTTCATTGCCAAGTCCAAGCTCGGCGGGCAGCGTGGACCAGAGCAACTGTTCCCCTGGGTCCTGCCCCTGGCACCGCTGTAACCAGCGATCCACTGGGCCCTTAAATACTCGCACAAAGCTGGCCACCGCGAAAGGGTCGCCCTGCAAAGCTCCACATCCAGGCTTGACCGCCAGTGGCCCGTCAGAAGACGGAAGCATACAGCCAGAGGTGCGATACCGCTGTCTACATAAGACTCGGCCCCGAGGTTGGGCCAGGGCATGACAAGCTTGGTCCAGGGAGTTCCAGGTAGGGGAGGCAAACGCATTCGACAAATCTTTCAGGGAATCGCACCACTGGATTCCAGATTGGTTGAGCCTCCAGCCCGTGATCATACATGCTGCGATGGTATCCTCTCGACGACGACAACGAAGAAAGCCATGATCGCATACTGAATTCTGGAACTTTGGACCCACCTTAAGAATCCCAGCATAGAACCCCTTGCTAAGCGGATCCAACCCGTGAACGACTCTCTTACCCCGAGGTCCAGCAATAGCAGCTTTAGGCAGAGCAAACCCCTGGCTGAAATTCCATAGCTCCGGAACCACTCCCCAGTATCGAATACTAGCAAACACCCTATGAAGCAGTAGCTTAGAATAGTGCCCGTCGGTCACGTTTTTGTCGGCCCCGAGACCAGCACGCGCATACGACGCAACATGAGCAGTAGGATTGCCTGTGCATATATGCCATAGCTCAAGTGGGAGCGCCCACACAGGTACTCCTCGCCTCTTGGGAGCTCTCGACAAGCATTTCTGGATAAGCTCCAAATCGAGTATGGCTCTCGAGCAGGCCGGGGTAGAGCGGGACTCGTCAAGCCCACGAAGATTGGCCAATGCATTCTGATGCTCACATACGTCTGCCCATGAAACTCGAGACGCCTGCATCCCTCCCAATCCTCCTTCAAGTCCCCAAACCTCCATCCATTGATCAGCAGACGGTAGCGCAGCGTCTAGCTTGCGAAGGTCTCGCTTGTTGCGGCCGAAGCGCCCGCCAGCAAGACGCAACGACAGCCGATGAATAAGAGAGAAATCCCGAGCACGCCAGGCGTCCCAGATCTCAGAAACCAATTGTTCATTACGCCCATGCCGACGACGACGAAATAAAGCTTTGCTACGACGGGTGGCTTCACGAAGCTTCTCACAGCACTCCTGGAACTCGGGGTCCTTGAGATTTGGGAGCTGCCTGCGAAGCTGTCGGCGAAGATCAAGCAACTCAAGCCGCTCTTTGCACAGGGCAGCTCTGGGGCCTGTTTTTTTCACCCTGGGAGAAGTGCTTCGCCCCAATGTCACGAAGGCAGCCTCAACCTCCTGAAGAAAATCTTCCCGAACAGGCCCTCCGCGAACACCTTGCATCATCTTGTCACGGTCCCATCGCATGTTATCTCTAGAGAGGCCATCGGGGGCCTGCATGTGCTGAAGCTGCTGGCCCCGTCCCCATCTCTGAACCTGAATCCGAACGAGGACTGGAATATGGTCTCGGTGTTCGCGGCTAGGTATAACTTGTAGCTTACGGCCTATAGCATGAATAGGGCTCGCGCAACACACTGCATCGCACCATCGAAGTGGGATGGCCACATGATCCAGCATCGAACTACTGCCATTACCCCCATAAAAAGTGGGTGCGTACTCGCGCAGCGTGGTGGGCGAGAACAAGTCGGCCGATTCTAGCAGCTCACGAAACCTTTGGCCTCCTCCTCCCGCATGTCGTTCCTTGGTCCTGATCCTCCCCACCGCATCCGTCTCCACCTCCATCCACTCTCCTTCCTTCTTGACCAGCCCGACTCCGTCGTTAACGTCGGCGAGGACAATGGGATGAAAGCGGCTCGGCAGTTTCTTGAGCTGCCCCTGGGCCCACGAAGACAATTGGCGACAGCACGCTAGATAAGTACGCATACCTGCAGCAGAGGAAGGCCGAGGAGGAAAGTAAAGCACCATTATGCACATATTCCAGCCTCCCCTGCCGCATTCAACTGACAAGCCACGGCCCTGGAGCGCAGGAGGTGGGACTGCGACTTGTCGTACATCTCGCTGTCTCCATCCTGGCGGGAGCAGGGCCGCTACTCCTGCGGAACGATTAGTCAGGTGACCGCATCGCCACCCTGCGTCGATACATACCCTATTCTGAATCATGAATGTCTGATAATCAAGATCAACCAAAGCCTTTCTTTGTGTACCTGGCAGTCCCACCACAGCAACATTGGCGAGCTCAAGAGAGATTTCCAAGAGTCGATCACCTGTGGCATGAAGGGGATTGTAGGTGACAGCCGTGATGACCATCGCTGGCCAGAGACCTCTGAGCATGGAAAGGATGTAGAGTGGGGCCGAACGGTATGGACGTGGGCCCTCCTAAGCCCCGCATTCTGCAGACCTGAGCAGAAGGGGCTAAAGAGGGATGGAGGAGGAGGAGGAGGAGGAGGAGGAGGCGGGGGAGGAAGAGGGGGAGGATGAGGAGGAGGAGGAGGAGGAGGAGAAGGAACAGGAGCGAGGAGGCAGGGCGGAGGTCGCGGGAGAAAAAGGACGACGCTGGGAGAAGAGGGACTGGACTAGGAAGCAGTGGGGGAGGAGAGAAGACAGGACCCAGACATCCGGCGGCATTATTTTTCAATCCGCATCACCTCCCGACCCCTTCCTCGGGGGGCGTTTCTCATCCCCGTTGCTGGCCCCAGGGGGAGGCCGAAGTCGAGGAGAAACAACAGGATTGAAAAAAGGTATCGGCGCAGACCTTGGAGTGGAGGAGCAGCGACGAAGAGGAGATTGTTGGGGTCCTAGCGGGTTCAAATGGTTAGGTGAGGTGTGCCGCCGACTTCGGTGGCTGGCCCAGGTGCCCCGGTGCCTGGGTGCCCGGGGGTGCCCGGGTGCCCGGGCGCACAGGTGCCCGGTAGCCCTATAGCCCTATAGCCACATAGCCCTATAGCCTTATGGCCTTATAGCCCTGTAGCCTTTCAGCCAAATAGCCCTGTAGCCCTATAGCCCTATAGCCCTAATAGCCCTATACTCAATATAGACCAATAGCCCTATAGCCCTATAGCTCTATAGCCCCATAGTCCTATAGCCCTAAAAAATGACTGGGGCTTTTCTCTGGTATCATTTATGATTCCCAGTAGCAGACGTTACTGGGTGGAGGGGCGGCTAAGGGTAACGATTCAGCGGGATGGGGCACGTGGGGGCGAGGGTGCGCTGCGATCGCCAGTATGCGCGCGAGCCCCAGCATGTGGAGTGGTTCTCGGCCCATCCTCCCCCCCTAGGCAGGATCGTTCCCGTTACCTGGAGGGGACGGGGGGAGCCGGGAAACGACACCGTTCCTAGACATCCGACGTCTCGACTTCTTCGAAACACTGGCCCCCGACCTCTCGACCACTTCCCTGGGACCGGCGCTTCATCCCGAGTCGTTTACTGAAGGCCCCGAGGCCCAGTGAAGGCCCCGAGAGACCGAAAGCTATGAAACCCATGCGTCTCGACTTTTTCGAGACGCAGGATGCTTGGGCCACGCGCCAGAGGATAACAAAAAAGCTCTCTCTCGGAGACCTGGCGGAGAAGGGGGGGAGCGTCAGGGGAGGATAGGCTCAGAGGAGGAGGCGGCGGAGGAGGGGGAGGAGCCGAGACAAGGAGGACAAGCGAGGCGCAGCGCCGACAAAACTGCCGGACAGCGCCGCCGCTCAGCGGCAGGCCAGGCAGGCTGGACGCCGCCCTGCTGGCGGCTCCAGCATCCAGAACTCCACTGGGCCTGGCGGGGTGGACCCAAACGTCCGGCATATCGACAAAAATCGAGACGGCGGTTTCTCATAGCTTTCGCCCTCTCGGGGCCCTTCCTGGGCCTCGGGACCCTCAAGGAACGACTCGGGATGGAAAACGGGTCCCAGGGAAGGGGTCGATACCTGTGGGGGTCGACGCTGTGAAAGAATGATGACGTCTGCGTCTGTCGGGGGGATGAGGACGACGGCGGGAAGGAAACGACGGCGAAAAGAGGACAAAAAAAGCAGTGCAGAGCCAACTTGCCCGTCTGTGCTCATAGCGTGGTGCCCCCCCTCGGGGCTCTCCAGCGCCAGTTGCGCCGCGTGGCGGCGCTCGCGCTCTGTGCGGTTCGAGGGCGAGCTCGGCAGGCACTGCGACGGCCGATCTGCGCCTCAAATTCAGTCGGCTGGCCTTTTGAAGATGGCGCCCAGGCAGAAGAATCAAAAGTCGTCCTGCGTACACTGGCTTTTGTCCCTTGCGGTGGGGAGGGCCCAGATCTCCCACGATATGACTTCTACACTCCGAGCGCTGTTCGCCGGGGGTTCGGCCTCTGGGGCCTGTCATCGGGCCCTGGGGCCTTCAAAAACGGATCCGGGACGAACGTCTGTCCCCTGGGAAGTGGTCGGGAGCCTTGGGGCCGCGGATTGAAAGTAATTAGATCGGAGGATGTCTGGGGCTGGGCGGGCGGACACGTAGCAGGAACGAGGAGGACAAGGGGGACCGACGAGGAGGGCGAGGAAGGTGACGAGGTGGTGGAGGGGAGAGGGAGGGGGGTTAAAGGGAGGACGGTGGATGGAGGATGACGGAGGGAGGAGGGAGGGCGAGGGGCAAAGAGGACGAGGGCGGCAAAGAGGGCAACGGGGATGGCGAAGAGGACAACCAGGAAGGCGAGGGCTTACGAGGCGGACGAGGACGAGGACGAGGACGGAGGAGTAGACGACGACGAGGACGAGGACGACGACGACGTCGAGGTGGGCAGAGGTGGGCGAGAAGGACCTGGACGAGGCCGAGGACGAGAGGCCTACGCCCCGCGAGAAGCACACGTGCGGCTCCGCGGCGCGGGCGGCGACACCCGGGAACCCCGCGGCCGCCAGCAGCGGCTCCGCCTCGAGCTCCTCCAGCACCGCGGGCTGCACCTCTCGCGCCCGGACGCTGCTGCACGGCAAGGACCTCCGAGAGCCGGCGGGCCCGGGAGGATGCCTCGGGCGCCGCGGCCCTCTCAGAGCGTTCCAGAACTCCCTGGGGGGCGTGGAGCGCTCGAGGGGGCGGGGGCAGGGAGGGAGGGGGAGGAGGGGCAGGGGGAGCAGGAGGGGGAGGAGGGAGAGGGGAGGAGGGGGAGGGGGGCGATTTTGACCAGGATCAGAGGCCCGCCTGAACCTCTGGAGGCCGCCCCATGGCCCCTTCCCCGGAGACCCTGCACCCCGAAATCTTGACATCTTTTGGGGGACGATCTCTTCACTTCTGCCAAGGAGATCCTCCGCTGGCCTCCGCTGGCGACTCGGGCCGCCGCCATTGCCCTTCCGCTGCCTCCTACCGGCTCCCCGCCGCCTTCCTCCGAGGGCGAGGTGGCGCCCAAGGCGAGGCCCTATAGGGCCGGGGGCGAACGGGGTCGGAGGGTCGCGCTGCATCGCCGATGCACCGGCGACGTCGGGATGGAAAAGGATAGGGCTCCCGATCGCGCCGCATCACCGATGCACCAGCGGTGCGGCGCGATCCACCGACACACGCTGCTGCCGCCCCACCTGGGCGGCAGGGAACCTCCCGAGCCACGGTAGCTTCGCTAATCGTTACCTGTAGCCTCGCTGCTCAAACCTTGCTAAACGTGCGACGCGACACAAAAAACGCAGCGGGGGCCCCAGACCCCTCTGGGTGCCCACCACCCTCACGAGGTCGATCTGGCCCGAAACTCTCCGCAGAAAGATCGGGTCGACGGCTCTGGTCCTGGTGTTCAGATCTGAGGGAAGTTCAGAGCTTCATGGGGACTCGAAGTTCACACCAAGCAGTCTGGTCGGCCAAGCGGCTCGGTGCTTTGAGGCCCCAGCTTCCCGAACTGATGGGCACTGGAGCGTCTATACACCGAATTCCTTCGCCGAACACCTTAACTTCTTAGCCGACCAAGCGACGCGTGTATACATCGAGCCCCTGCGACTGGCGGGCCATCGGGTCTGTTCCGGCAGTTGCAACGCTCTGTCGAGAGAACTGCAGGAACAGAATAATCGTCTCGAGCTGCCCTCGCTGACCCGACTTGCGGCCCTGTACTACCAAGAGCCCAAGAACATGCAGCGTCCTTAACTAGTGGTGAAAGAAGCACGGCGCGGATTCCGCACGCATGCTGGAATCGAGAGCCACTTCCCCGGGACTGGTTTCTCATCCCGAGCCGTTTTCTGATGGCGCTGGATGTCTGGGTTAGCTGGGGGAGGAGAAGCTCCAAGGCCACCCCAGCTGGGAGCAGACCGTCGGCGAGGCGCTGGCGGCGCCGCTTATGGCGCTGCTGGGCGCGCTGCAGGCTGCTGCTCCGCCAGCGGCTGCCCCGCAGGCGTTGGCGGCACCAGCGGCAGAAGGCGGCAATGCAGGAGCAGCTGATGGGGTCCCTCATGCGGCGGCAGTAGCTCCGCCCGCTCGTCCTCCTGCTGGTGCTGCTGAAGGTGATGAAGATCGTGCAGTGTGTGGCTCGCCCTTATTCATGAGCGAAGCTTGGGGCGAGATGGTGCGAGCGCTCGGCAGCTCAGGGGACATGGTCGTCTCGGAGGTCGACAATGGGGCGTGGGTGGTCAATCTGCAGGAGGACGCGGCCAAGCGTGCAAAGGCGATGACTGATGATTCGTGTCTTTAGCATCATGGCCCTGTTGTCGCAGAGCATTGAGACGGACGGCAGCAGCTCTGGTGACGCCTGCGCTGACAGACTGGTGCCGAGGCCGAGCTTGGAGGTGGACCCTCCCGCTCGTGCTGGTGACGATGCTGACAGCCGAGTGGAGGGGAAACAGTTTCAACGCAGCAGTGGAGGGCTCAGGAACGTCAACTGCGCTGACGAGTCTGCGGCCGTGGGTGGACCCCGAGAAGGCTGAGACCGCACGGCGAACGAAACCCACGGCAGGCCCTCTCTGCCGTGCGGGATCCCGCCGTGTGGAATCGCCGCGGGAAAGCCCGAGCACACGTACCGCGACAGGCACGGTGGCCACGAGAGAGGCGGTGACCAGGATTGTTTCAGTGGCGCCCTCTGCGGGGTCATCTTCCTCAACAGCGGTGGCGACGAGTGGTTCAGTGACGCGCCGTGCTTCAGTGGCGGCCACCACCTCCACCTCGACGGCGGTGGCGAGCGATTCGGGCAGCCGAGTGGTGTGGGATATGTGCGAAGCAGTGGAAGCTGGATGCCCAGGGACATCCATGGCGCCCTCGAGGACGCGGCCGTGTGTGGCCCCTGAGAAGGCTGAGACTGCCCAGCGGACGAAACCCACCGTAGGCGTGGCGTGCCGCGCGGGATCCCGCTGCGAGGAATCGCTGGAGGGAAGCCCGAATACCAATACAGCGACAGGTACGGTGGCCACGACTGGGACAGTAGCCAGGTGTGCTTCAGTGGCGCCTTCGGCTGGGTCACCTTCCTCGGCTGTAATGACCACCTTCCTATGTTGCGCCTTATGATTGGTGCCCCGAGGTGGCCCGTGGCTGATTCCATGTGAGCGGTTTGCTGTGGTGCCCTCTGGTTGGCGCTCTGTGGCTTGCGACCCGTGGCAGTTGCAGCCTTGCAGATCGCAGGCTACATGTGTTGGGCCACATAACAACTTGTCACATCGAGAATGCCAGAACCATCTGTTTGAGGTTCACGCGCCGACATCATGTTCAGAGACGATTCAGGCCTTCTGGCACAGTCTTGCGCAAGCGCAGGGCCAGCCCTGGCGCGGACAGGGCCCACGCTTGTGCAGGGGAGCTACTAAGTGGCCCTGATTCCAAGGATGTACCGAAAAAACGCTGGGCCACATTGCAATCAAGCGGGAAGTTTCTGAACGACCTGCATAGCTGCAAGGATCACTGGGCAAGCAGACAATCAAACAGATCCTCGCCAGGCAAGACGAACAGAACAACGATAAATCCACGTGTTCGGGCAGCCTTGCGATCTGGCAAGGCTCTCAGGAGCTCTACATTGGGGACCTGCCCTTGCTCAGAAAGTTCTGTTAGAATTTGGCTGGGCGGGGGCGGGTCCCGAAACTCCAGCCCGCAAAAAGTCGATATGAACCAGCCGCTGCTCAGAAAATTCCGTCGGGAAGTGGCTGAGCGGGCGCAGGTCTCCATCGGTCGTTTGCCTGCTAAATCGACCGTTTGTCCGCTCCATCGGTGTTGCCCCAAAATCTGCTCGATCGATCGGTTGTCTGCCCCCCCTCCCTTAGGAGCGGCAGGACCCGCACGCACCTCCCACTCCGGGTGGGTCACGTCGCCCCGCAGGAGCAACGGGCCGGCCCCCCAGGGGAAGGCCGCGTACACGGAGTACCGCTCAGTGAACCACTTGGCTCGCCCCAGCCAACCCTCTGGAAGTGGAGGGAAAGAAAACAGAGACCACGGCCGAGACTGAACGCGGAAATGTCGGTGCCGATCCTGGTCGCCGTCCAACCCGCTCATCGCCAATTCTCGGACCATCCTGGCGCATCGGCGACGGCAGGCATGGACCATGCCCAAGATCGGCGTCCACAAGATCCCGCGACATCTTGGTCGTGGTCAGCGTGCTCCTTCCCTCGAGGTGGGGCTTGTCCCGCCAGGCCCGGCGCTCCCAGCCTCCACCGCCCGGACACGCGCGGCTGCTTGCCCCGGCCCTTCCTCTGAGACCCGAACGCGAACATGAACCCCGGCCCGCCCTCCGCCTGTGGCTCGCCGCTCTCCCCCGTGCTCCTGGCGAGCACTGGCCGCTCCACGTCGACCGTCCGCTCCTGCGGCGGCGAGCACGGGGAGCTCCAGAGCGAGGGGCCTTCTTAGGCGGCACGGAAGCTGCCTGGGAGGAGTGCTTTCTATTCCTCGCGATACAGCGGACATTACCGCCCCTGGCCGTCCCCCCAGGTAACGTCACGATTCGTGCTGACCTCCGACTTGTCTCCTCTTATTCCAAGACGTTCCCAGACGGCGCCGGCGCGAAAAGTGACGTTAGCGCCCCCCCCCACCCTCCCCCGCCTCTGGTAACCTGGTAACGCCGCTCTCGCCCAGGAGAATGAAAACGCTCTCAAACCATGTTTGCCACGCCTCCGAAGATGCGGCGGGCCTTCCTGGAAGGGCGCCCCCCTGACCCCGACCCCCTGTGCGCGCCGCCAGCGCTCCATCAACGCAGGGAAGTACGGAATGCCGGCAAGCCTTCACGAGCGGCGAACATGTCCGTATCCGCGCCCTCGCGCTCTGGATTCCAGGACGCGATCCAGCGGATACGCGGTCGCACGGATACGGTCCGCGCGAGGCATCGGCCAAGCAACGCCCCATGTCCGCGGGGCCGCGGCCCAGGGGGCCTGGGCCGCGAGGCCGCGGATACGAATGTGCTTTCCCCACGTGGCCTGGCGCCGATGGAGGCCAACAGGCTGGAGCACTCCAGCGAAAAGAAGTAGATGCCGGGCACGCCCGCGCACTGCACGTACGTGCGCACGTTCGCGCCGAGGTGGTCGATCGGAGCGACGACCCGGCGCAGCAGCGGGGAGTGGGCCGCCACGCCGCGCTCCGTCAGCAGCACGAGGCCCACCCAGGCCGATCCCTCGACGCTGTTTTTATCAGTTCTGCGTGACGGTCATTACCGGGGCGGGGGGGGGCCGGGTGAGGGTAACGCTTGGGCGGGGGAGGGCCCCTGCGTAAAGCCCGCAAGCACCAGCAGGGCGCCCGTGAGCACCAGCAGGGCACCTGCAAAACGTAGCGCCGATACCACTACCCGGGGGGGGGGCGGGGGCGGCCTGGGTAACGACTGTTACACGTCAGAAGATACAAAAACAGTCTCCTCGTAGACGTCGGGCTCGAGCCCTCTTGGCAGCCGTGCCGCGAGGTAGGCGGGGTCCACCGGCCAGTGCACGAACAGTGCGTTTTCCCACGCGTCGTGCCTCATGAAGCGAAACTTTAGCCGTCTCCTCGATATGACGGCGTTCACAGCGTCCCTGCCCGAAACTTCCGCCTGGGCCATCCGGAGGCCGCAGCACGGTGGCAGGCGGCAAAGCTCGACGGATTCAGGGCAAACAATAATTAAAATGACTTGAGCCGGAAAGGCTGTGGAAATCCACGGCGGACGAGTCGTTGAGGGATGTCGATACTTGAAAGCAGAGCGTGCCAGCTTGAAGAGTTGTATTGCACTGCCACGGTTGGACCTGCACTGCGCGCCGCAGCTTGCACGTTCGAACTCACTAGCATGCATGCTTATGCTCGTCAACATGATTGTCGTAACTCAAGCTTGCAATGTGACATGGTGGCCTCATGGAGCGGAAGCCCCATAAACACACTACAACGCAACATGAATACACGCACGTTTGCTACAAGCCGAATTGCTGTCCTACACGGTGCGCTGTCACACGACGCTTCCGCTACAACGAGCACCTGGATCCGACAAACAAGCCCGTGACTAAGTGATCAGGAAGGGCCTCATCTGTCCCAATAGGGTCTACCCCTCCGAAATGGCAGACCCTGGTTGGGTAAATGAGGCTCTCGTTTAAGCATGGCGCATATTCGTCTCAAGCACTTCCAACGATTACACGGATGCAAAGGGGTGGTTTTCAAAATGCGGTTCTCGCCCCAACGCCGCGACAATTTTTCGCACCAGCTTCCGAGCGCTACACGGATTGAAGGGGAAATCGTCATAATGCGGCTCTCGCTGGAGCGCCGCGCACACTCGTACCTATCGTTGTCAGCAATTACACGAATGAAAAGCAGCTCCTTTTCAAAATGTGGTTCTCGCATTCACGTCGCGCACATTCGTCTGTTACACGGATGGAGGGGTGATGTTTTTTTTCAAAAGAGCGGTAATCGTCTTAGCGCCGATCCAATACGCTCGGGAATTTTGGCTTAGCGTGTCGCGCCGGCGGCCCCGGCGACACGATATGCCGTACGAGCGGATAGCGTGTCGTTCCGTTCCGCGGGATGGAAGGCTGGGAAAACTCGGGACGCTGACGCTCGGGGGTGGGAAATGGATGCCGTGTCGCGCCGAAACGTGGTGGACCAGAACCGCTGGCACGACACACTAAGCCCAAGGTCCTGATCGTAGCTCCCGACACTCACACGGAGTAAAGAGGGTGGCTTTCCATGCTGGCTATCGTGGATCCCAATCAGTGTCTCTAGCAATACACGTTATGCAATCTATGTGGTGCAATGTATGCTGCTCGATCCATGTGGCGCAATATATGTGGTGCAATCTATGTGGTGCGATCTATGTGGTGCAACTACCTTTGGTTCGCAATGAGCTGTCAACCCCACTGCTCGCGCAAGCATCCCACCCAACCATCCGCAACTTAGTGTGCAAAACCAATGCGGCGGCGATTGCGATGGCTGCTTGGCGCTAGCTGGAGCATCGCTGCGGTCGCGCTAGCGCGCGCAGGCTCGCGCGCAGGCTCGCGCGCAGAGCGGCCCAAAGATGGCCTAAGAGGGGTCCAAGAGCGCTCCAAGACGGCCCTAAGAGCGCCCAAGAGCGCCCAAGAGCGCACCAAGAGCGCCACACAAGCGCACCAAGAGCGCCACAATAAGGCCTCAAGGCGCGACTTTAGGGACTCTCGAGGGGCGCCGCTAACTCACAACCTCCCCCTTATGAGCGGAGGCTTCGAACCGCGAAAGCATTTATGATGGACTCCTGGGCCTGCTTATGCAGAAGCAAATCTTCGGTTCGACGGCTGTCTCCCCCTCTTTGTTCCACTGCGTGCATCGGCATTTCCATCATCAATGCAACTCGCCTGGGCGTCGTTACTGAATGAGCTGGTGGGCGTCAAGAACTCTTGTAAGCGCTAATGAGGAGGGGACTCGGAATCGTCGGGCGTATTGCAGCATTGTTGATGCACCCTGGGTGGTTCTGGCCCCCATTCCTACTCCTCATCCTTCTCCTGCTCTTCCCTCCCACTCGTCCTCTCCTCCTCTCTGCTCCTCCTCATCCTCACGCTTCATCCTCGACGTTTCCCCCCCCCCCCCCCAACGCAGCGAATACTGTACACAGTTTCGACTCCGGCGCTCAGGAGCACTGGGCGAATTTCTGGCGTCCCGGGGACATACATACGGTTTGGTCGGTCACACACCGGTTCAAGCTCCATGAACGACCACGTAAACTTAAAAGCCACATAACTACGAATGGCAGGAGGAAGCGGAGGACGAACGGGCAGGAGAAGAGGAAGCCAATGATACGAATTCCCGTGGAGACGTATCGGTCCCGCGGCCGCACGGACATTGTGTTGTACCCCTTATACGGTGGCCCAAACGGCCATGCGAATAAATCTAACACCATGCACGAAAAAGGGTGAAGAGGAGGGGGCGGAGAAGAGAGGCGCGAGAGGAGGAGGAGGAGCGGGGAGGCAGGGGGACGGGACCTGCCTGAATAACTCTCAACCTCAACTACGACCGCCGGGCCCGACCGGCGAGGAAGCGCCGCGCTGTTGGCGGGCAGGGCACGAAGCCTACGATTCATAGAGTTGCGGCCGTCGGCAAAACGGCTGGAGCAGGAGGGAGGAAGAAAAGAGGCTACGACACGAACGGCCGGCGCCGGACTGAGCGCAGCAGGGACTCCAGAGCTGAGTTCCCGCGGGCGCCCTCCCGCAACAGGGCGGGGAGGGCGGAGGCGACGGCGCCCGCGCGCAGGGGCCCGCAGCGGGCGTCACCGTGCGCCCTGTACACGGCGTACACTGTCAGTGCCCGCAAGAGCGTGGCCTGCTCCGCCGTGTCCTCGCCTTGTCGGCAGCGACGGGATTGGCCGAGATTCAGGAAGCAAGCCAGCCGGTCACCGGGCGCCGGGAGCGCTAGGCCAGCGTGGCGGGAGCAGAAGGAGTGATACAGCTCGCAAAAAGCGTAGTGCTCGATAGAGTCCTCCCCGCGATTGCATCCGAGCAGGCACCTCGCTCTGCCCTGAAAGCGCCGCGCTGTACACCACCCATTAAAAGCAGTGCGGGCGAAGGCAGCGCACACTCGCGGGGGCGCTCGGGAAGACAATAGCCGGCCGACCGCGCACAGCCGGTCAGGCCGAAGCCGTGGGAGAAGGTCAATCGACCATCTGCCGAGCCTCGCCCGGGCTTCATCCTCGACGTCTGCGGGGGATGTTCAATTCGACGACTTCCTACACTACAGCAGAGCGCCACAAACGATCGTGCTTCACACTCCCTGATGGCCGCCGGGTATCCGACTCCCGTGCCCACCAGGCCTTGCGCAGCCGTACTCTCTGAGCCTGGCCCGTCCTGTGCCGAGCCCTGCCAAAGGCATCCCACCTCCCAACCTTCATCTCGCGAGCAGGCCTGGCAACCCAACCGCTGCGACCATAGGCTCCCGGAAGTCCCCGACGCCGCGAAAAAGAGATGATGCAATCGTTCGCGGGAACATCGCTACCAGAGCCCTAGGGCCCCATCCCTCCGCGGCATTTCTCGAGCCAGGTCGACCTGCGAGGGTCCGGGCGCCTGAACCGGGGAGGAACAAACGCCCGCTGTGAACAGCAAATCCGGCGCCGGGATCCCACAGGGCGACGAGATCCATGAACGCTCACTGCCCCTGGCCAGGCACAGCCTGGGCCCAGGAGCGGTGGCTACGCCTCCCTGGCCTGGTCAAGAGGAGGCATACGTCCACGCCGCTCTTGGGCCCAGGATGGGCCTGGCGAGAAGCAGTGGAGATGTGCCCCGGCATCTGCCGATATGGGGATCTCAATCCGCGGCCCCAAAGGTCCCGACCCCCTTCTGCCCAGGGGGAGTGTTTCATCCTGGGTCCGCTTTTGAGGGCCCTGGGGCCCGAAAACGGGCCCCTGCAGCCCGAAGCCGAAGAGAACAATGCTGGGATCGAACAGAAATCCTGCCGTTCCCCTCCTCCTTCTCCTCCTCCTTCTCCTTCCCTTCCTCGTCCTCGTCCTCGCCCTCGTCCTGGTCCTGGTCCTGTTTCTCGTCCTCGTTCTCCTCCTCGTCCTGCTCCCCCATTCCTTTTCCTTATAAATAATTTCTCCCTGTCGCATCCCGAGGCCAATATTTAGGGCGGGCCAGGCCGGGCGTTTCGCCGGACTTCCTCACCATTTATGACTCTGAAGCTCAAAAATTGGCAACAGTTTCGCAGATGGAGGGCGGGGGGGGGGGGGTCCAAATGTGGCTCTCGCCTAAGCGCCGCGCGCATTCGTTTAACAAAAGTGTAAGAATCGCACGGATTGAGGACAACCCGTTTTCAAATTGTGGCTCTCGCCTTAGCGCGGCGCACATTCTTTAATAAAATTCGCGAGGGCTTCACGGATTGAGGGCTGTTCCTTTTCAAATTGTGGCTCTCGCCGTAGCGCCGCGCACACTCACTTATAAAATTTGCACGCGTTTCACGGATTCTCATGGTCAGCGTACCAGAGATGGTGTTTTGAAAGGATTCACGACTTTGCAGGCGCAACAGTTACGTTGATTCGCAGTGTTGTAGTCCCAAGAATGGCGTTCTGGCGCGATTCAGGATCGTCAAGACGCAACAGTCAGATTGATCCGTGGCGTTGGAATCCCGAGAACAATGTTTTGGCATGCGTCTCCCGAGAACAATGTTTTGGCATGCGTCAGGGTCTTCAAACGGTTGTCTTTCAACGAGGCAGCTCCCTCAATGGAAATGAACCGGTGTAGGGGCATATGAAAAGGGAGCTTGGAGGAAGGCTTTATTCCCAGTTGAAAACCCTTGGGTTTACACTGGTCGTCCTCCTCCTCCTACTCCTCCTCCTCCTCATCCTCCACCTCCTCCTGCTCCTCCTCCTCCTCCTGCTCCTGCTCCTCCGCCTCCTCCTCAGCATCATCCTTCCCTTTCTCCTCGTCCTCGTCCTCGTCCTCGTCTTGTTCCTCGTCCTCGTTGTCCTCCTCCTTCTCCTCCTCCTCCTCCTCCTCCTCCTCCTCCTGCTCCTCCTCCTCCTGCTCCTCCTGCTTCTCCTTCTTCTCATCTCCCTCGATCGTCCTACGGGTCGGGCCGAAAGCCCCCGCTGCGGAAAAGCACAAGGGTCTGGGCGCCAACATCTCGGCGACGCGCAGCCCACGATCGGGGAGGGTCCGATCCCTCCTCCGTGGGGGGGATCCACGACCGTCGTTAACCCTCGACCCTCTCGATGAGCCTGGATTCGGGTGCACATTCCTTCTCCTCATCATCATCCTAAGCATCGCCATCATCATCAGCATCATCATCAGCATCATCATAATCATAAGCATCATCATCATCATCAGCAGCAGCAGCAGTAGCAGCACCGTCATCAACAGCATCATCATCCTCAGCAGCGACAGCATCATCATCATCATCATCATCATTATCATCATCATCATCACCACCATCATCATCATCATCAGCATCATCATCATCATCATCATCATCATCATCATCATCATCATCATCATCATCATCATCATCGTCATCGTCACCATCATCATCATCAGCAGCATCATCACAAGCATCATCATCACATCCATCATCATCACCATTATCATCACCACCATCACCCTCATCATCATCAGCATCATCATGATCAGCATCATCATCAGCAGCAGCCTCAGTATCATCATCATCATCATCATAATCAGCATCATAAGCATCATCATCACATCCATCATCGTCATCACCATCATCACCATCATCAGCATCATCAGCATCAGCAGCATCATCGGCATCATCATCATAATCACCGTCATCGTCAGCATCGGCATCATCATCATTATCAGCAGCATCATCATCACTGTCATTATCAGCATCATCATCATCATTCACCTCATCGCTCCCCAAGTGCCCAAATCCGAACATGACACGGAGGGACAGCGCACGCGAAGTACTAACCCTCTGCTCCCAGCCCCCTGCTTCGTCTGGCCAGGCCTTCAGGCCTGGGGGGAGGCGGCCGTCCATGAACTTAGGCTTAGACCGCACCTTCTTGGCACGGCCTGGGGGAGGCGACCGTCCATGAGCCTAGGCTTAGACCGCACCTTCTTGGCGATGCCCCTCGAGTACAGGAACAACATGTCTTGGATCGGCGATGGAAAACCCTCCCTGGCGCAGCGGAACTCGCCAAGGGCGGCGCCGCAGGCGCCGCCACGGGGGTACAGCGCCGAACCAAGAACTTCGCGCGGAGTTCCAAAATTGTGTAATTACGCTGTTCTTTCTTCCACTATCGATCCTCTTTGGTCCTCCCCGACCCTCCTAGCCCCCCTGCCCGAAGGGGGAAACCAACTAATATCGATACCGCTACTCCCGGGACCTCTGCTGAGGTGCGCTCTGACCAGGACTCCGAGGCGAATCCGGCCGTGGCGACGAGGGCCTCCCGGGAGCCCCAGAAAAGGGGAAGAGGAGGGAGGAGGGCAGTGGTATGGGTACCGCTTCCTCCTCTGAGCTTCGGCCCTCCACGATCCTCCTCGAACCCCTGCCCGAAGCCGCCTTCTGGAGGGCCTCGGCGGGGCCCTCGGCCGCCCGCGGCGCACTCTCCGCCTCCCTCGGCGCGCGGCTCCTCGCCGCCCGCGGCCCGCGGCTGCCCAGCGCGTCGGCGGCGGGCTCGGCGCCGAGGCGCTCCAGGCGCGCCCGGGTGAAGCTGGGAGCCCCAGATGTTTCAGGATGCCGAAAACTTGCCGCTCCTCCTCCTCCTCCTTCTCCTCCTCCTCCTTCTCCTCCTCCTCCTCCTCCTTCTCCTCCTCCTCCTCCTCGTCG